CAATAATCTGCCCACCACTGAAATAAGACTAACTGGCCTTTAATTTCCAGGATTATCACTATTCCTTTTTGAAAGAGGAAATGACATTTGCCTCTCCAATCTATCGGCACTATACCCATGGAATGAGGGGATGAAAAGATCATCGCCAAAGGCCCTGCAATCTCTTCCCTCGCTTCCCACAGAACCCTTGGATAAATCCCATCAGGTCCAGGGAACTTATCTTCAACTTCCTCAAAATTCCTAGCACGTTTTCCTTACTAACAAATATTGACCTCCTCTAGCTTACCAGCTTGTTGCACACTGTCCTCTACAACTAGGTCCCTCAGTTGTGAATACCAAAGAAAAGTAGTCATTAAGGACCTCTACTTCTTTAGGCTCCATGCACAAGTTCCCCTTACATTCCTTGATCAGCCCTACCCTTTCTCTGGTCATTCTTATTCCTCACGTGTAAAAAGCCTTGGAGTTTTCCTTCATCTTATCTGCCAAGGTTTTCTCATGCCACCTTATAGCTCTCCTAAGCTCTTTCTTCAGCTCCTTCCTGGATAACTTGTATCCTGCTAGAGCCTTTTCCGATCTTTCTTCCTCTTAACCAGTCATTTGACCGAGAACCAAGGCTCCCTCACTCGACCGCATCTTCCATGCTTGATAGGGACAAACGCATCGAGCACACGCAGTATGCATTCCTTGAACAACCTCCACATTTCAACAGTGCTCTTCCCTGACAGCATCTGTTCCCAATTTATGTTACCCAGTTCTTTCCTAACAATTATAATTACCCTTCCAATTATCAACCTTGCCCTGCTGTATGTACATATCCTTTTCCATGAGGATCGTGAAAGAAACAGCTATGATCGCTACTGCCAAAATGGTCTCCTACCAACAGGTCTAACACTTGGCCCGGTTCATTGCTAAGCACCAAATCCAAAGTGGCCTCTCCTCATGTTGGTCTATCTACATACTGTCAGGAATCCTTCCTGAATGCACTGGACAAAAATCTGCTCCATCTAAACTATTAGAACTAAAGTGTTTCCAACCAATATTTGGAAAGTTGAAGTCACCCATGACTACAACCCTGTGACTTGTGCACCTTTCCAATATCTGCCTCCCAATCTGCTCCTCTATTTCTCTGCAACTATTAGGGGGTCTGTAAAAAACCCAAGTGACTGCTCCTTTGCTCCTGACCTCAACCCAAACTGACTCTGTAGGCATATTCTCGAACTGTCTTTCAGTCGCTGCTATACTCATCCTGAGTTGCAATGCCACTCCCCACCTCTTTTTCCACTCCCCATTTCTTTTAAAGCATCTATATCTCAAAACTTCCAACCATTCCTGTCCCTGAGATTTCCAAGTTTCTGTAATAGCCACAACATTGTAGTTCCAAGTACCAATCCATGCTCTAAGTTCATCTGCCTTATTTCTGATACTTCTATCATTGAAGTATACACACCTCAAAGCATCTGTGTCCACAATTATGCTCCATCAACAGCATAAACCACCTCACTCCCTGTTGTGTCCATTGGAAGGCTGAATACCTCATCCTCCGAATGACTAATCTTGTTCCCCACCCCCTGCCAATCTAGTTTAAACCATCCTGTGTAGCTCGATCAAACCTCCCTCCCAGGATATTTGTGCCCTTCTGGTTCAGGTGCAACCTGTACAGTAAGGACAGGTGCCACCTTCCCCAGAGTGTTCCAATTATCCACAAAATGGAACCCCTCCAGCCACGTGTTTAGCTGCACTCTCTCCCTATTCCTTACCTCATTATCATGTGGCACTGGTAGTAATTCAAAGATAACTACCTTGTTTGTCCTGGACTTCAGCTTCCAACCTAACTCCCTGTACTCGTTTTTCACATTCTCAGTCCTTTTTCTCCCTATGTCATTGGTACCGAGGTGTACCATGACTGCTGGTTGCTCACCCACCCCCTTAAGGATCTTGAAGGCACGATCCGAGACATCATGGACCCTGGCACCTGGGAAGCCACATACCATCCGTTCACGTCCACAGAACCGCCTGTCTGTGCCTCTTACTATCGAATCCCCCACTACAATTGCTCTCCTATTCTCCCCCTTCCCTTATGTGCCACAGGGCCAGGCTCAGTGCCAGAGACCTGTCTGCTACATCTTTCCCCTGGTAGGTCACCCCCCCAACAGTATCCAAAATGGTATACTTATCGAGGGGAACAACCACATGGGATCCCTGCACTGTCTGCCTATCCCCTTTCCGACAGTCACCTTGTTCCTGTACGTTGGGTGTGACCATCTCCCTATAACTCCTTTCCAATCACCCCCTCAGCCTCCCGAATGATCCGGAGTTCATCCAGCTCCGGCTGGAGATCCCTAACGCTGTTTGTGAGGAGCTGGAGTTGGGTGCACCTCCCACAGGTGAAGTCAGAGGGGACACCAGCAGTGACCCTTACTGCCCACATCCTGCAAGAGGAGCATGCAACTACCCTAGCTTCCATTCCCTCTACTCTAGATTTCCAGAAGAATTTTAAAAGAGCCTTACCTTACCACCCTCCAGACAGTTTGTGTGTCTGGAAGAGGATGGGTGGGAGACACTACACGTGTAGTGTTTAGTGTTTAGCCAATGCCCGAATATATCGATTCCTTCCTGGCTTGCATTCTCTCCACACCCACTGCTGAAAACAAGGCCGCTGCTGCACAAGGTAAGTTTTCGTACTGGAGAGAAAAAGAACAGCCTTACCTTCCCGTCAGCACTCTGCCTCACGCTGCTGCTGAAAACTGCTGGGAAGTAAAAAGGTAGCTTTACAATCAGTTTAAAGATTAGAGGGAGGATAACTCTGGAGCAGCAGTGCTGTCCTTGTGCTTACATCATTTTCAGTCTGGTTCCAATTAAAGGTATCCCTAATCTCCCACACAGTTCCATCACCCCCTCCAACCCAGGCCCACTCCCAGCTTATTTTACCCATACCTTGCACCCATTCTCCCTACACCTTGGGGCCACTAAACAGCTGACCACACACACCTTCCCTTCCTGGCTTCCATGTTCATTACATCTTCCCAACACCATCAAATCTGAATCTCCACCTCAACTCCTGACCCTTCCCACCTAATTACCTTTCCACAGCAGTGAAGGATTTCATCAATCTGATAAAATTTGGCACCTATTTTCCTGGAATTTGAACTGCTTTCAGTCAGATTTGTATCCCCAAATCACTAACTGCACAACCACCCTCAGCAACATGGGACAAACACTTCCCTACCACATGCCCTGACCACACCCAGCTCTCCCCTGTCTCAGACATCAGGCTGTGCAGCTGATATCCTGCACTGATAACACTATGGAGATGACTGCAGACCTTGTTTTCAGTCCCATCAGTAAAAAGCATTTTTCAACCCATCAAGTTGGGCCTCAAAGTGAGAATGTAACATGGACAAAACCCACCAAGTGTCCACTCCCTCTTCCAAAGGGAGTATATTGGCACCAAGGTGGTTAGGTCAGCTCAGTTATATGAACAGCATGGCTTTTTGGCCATTGATTAACTGGATAATTAAGGAATATTTCAGATACAAAAGCGAGCACCCCATGTCATAGCTACAGTGACACATGACAAGGCTGCTCAGTCACCCAGTGACTATGAGCATTCATTCCAGTGACCATACACAGCCCTCTCAAGATGAGGCATTCAGATGCATTGGGCCAGAAGGCTTTTTCCACTGATGCACCTATTGGTTTGAAGAGCACCAGGTATTGTATGCTCAATCACACATTACATCATTCTGTTCATGAGAACCAACAGACATTCTCAGCATTTCCTACCAAAGTTTAGTTCATTCATGTCACTGAATTCCAGCTCATGTTGAGCAAGTCAACTACACCCTTTATTACAAATGCATTACAGACAGTTCTAGACGAGCACTAGGGATAGAAATGTGGCATAGAAAACAAACTCTCTCCCTCACCCCATGACCTCAACATCAGGGTAGAATCAATAAAAGCAAATGTGAGCAGGTCATGCTCTGCTCAAGAAGTCTTGGGATTAAGAGGGGAGGCCTCATGGTAAACTGATGGTTCACCAAGTATTTCAGGAGTTAACGCTGACAGGTGTGTTCCTTATGGAATTGTTTGATGTACTCTTGGGGGCTAGTGCCATGTGCCCAAGTGTGAGAAGGGCAGTCACAACAGTTAGCACAAGCTTTCCCAAAATACTGAACTGGTCCAAATAACAGGTGGTCTACAAATTTGTTTGTAGTTGTAATTTGATATAAACCTTTGAAGCTGAACAGAAAGGTGACAAAGCTCAATCTCCAGGGTATAGAACAGACCTAACTGTGGGAGTCAACAAAGCCAAAACAGAAATTGAAACCCTCCATAATGATAAATACTAATAAATTCCATGAAGATCAAAAAGACAAAACAAAAACCAGGTCTGAACAGAAGATTCAAAGAATCACTGCTTTATTGGTCATTTCATTAGTTGAATGGAGTTTGCTGGTGTTTCCTGTACAGGAACAAGGCCATCAATGAAGCAGAG